TTGTTTTCTAGTGCCTTGTCTCTGAATTGAACATGACTGAGCTGAAAGCGACCGAATATAAAGCGGATCTGCAAAAAGTGACTGAAGAACTTGCCGATTTGAAAAGGAAATATTTGGAAGAGAAAAAATCGAACCGTCCCAGACGTACGACACTGGAATCGGCTGGGAGAGAGGGAACCGATCAAGTTGGCGCTTGCGACGTGCGATTCACCGGTGGCGGTTTTCGAATGTCCGTGCATCAAGTCCCGACTAAATAATCTGATTTGCGTCGATTAAACTATCTGATTGGCTGGAAACACGTGCATACTCAACTAAGTGGTTGTGTTGGGAGTGTGGGGAATAAAATTTGTTTAAATTAGAAGGATTTCTCAGTTTCCCGGGCCCAGGTGTCACTGTAAACAATCGCTTGAGAGGTTAGTGAAAATGCCAAAGGTTTTGGAGGTTTGTGTTGATAGTTTGGAGTCGGCAGTGGCCGCTCTGAATGGGGGCGCTGATCGCCTGGAATTGTGCTGCTCGCTCATAGAGGGCGGGCTCACTCCTACGCCCGGACTATTGATTCAAATTCAAAATATGAACCCCAGAAAAGTACCGGTTTACTGTCTACTGCGATGTCGGCCTGGCCACTTCGTCTACACCCCGGAGGAAATCGAAATAATGAAGGAAGATGCGAAAATCCTACGTCGAAGTGGGGCCAACGGTTTCGTATTTGGGGCGCTGGCCGATAATGGGGACGTCGACATGAAGATTTGCAGGGAAATCATCAAAATCTGCCACCCCTTGCCACTGACCTTCCACCGGGCGTTCGATTTCGTCAGAAGACCCACCATCGAAGTGGAGGTTATTATCGACTTGGGCTTTGAGCGGATCCTGACCAGCGGCAAGCAGCAAACAGCGCAAATGGGAGTGAAACTGATCCGAAAGTTGATCGAACAGGCTGGAACGCGCATCAGCTTAATGCCGGGCGGTGGCATCAATAAGGACAACGTGCGGTTCATTCTGGAAAACACCGAGGCCGAAGAGATCCATGGCTCTTTCAAGAAGCTGAAAGAGCAGAAGGGCGACAAGGCGGATGAAGCTGAGGTGAAACTCTCGGAGGAAAATGTCCCGGTTTTCGTCACAGATGAAGAATCCGTTGCTGAGATCCTCAACATTTTGAAGACTGTTGATTTGTAATTTTTCGAAAGTTTTTCCGAATATTTTATTTTCCTGTCCATTCACATGCAGTTAAATGTGGACATAATATATGTTTACTGTAATTAAGTTA